TCACTTTAAAGAGGTTAACTACGAATCGTCATCTTGGCAGTCTAAGGTTGTCTTCACGATCGTGTCAATAGTGACCAAAACCCTGTCGTCTGGTCCATTCCATTCCAGTAAATAAGATATATTATGGCAATAATTGCTAGACTGCATTTACTTATTGCCAGTTTAGATTCATGCTACGTACATACACATAATTGGCAAGTGAGCAGTGTAACCAGGCATCAGCTCAACTTCTTAAGCCAGACTGTACCTAGTCGTCTCAGAGACAACAATTAGCTTGATCGACACCTTGTGATCGAGTACCTCGGAATTCCCTGAGTGTCCGCTGACTTCTGAGCTCTTGTGAGCCTCGTCGTCGCATGTGCATCAGGAGTAAACCTATGTCGGAAGACCTTCGGGCACCTTGGACATCAGATCATGCATATATGCTATACAGAATAGCATTGGGATCAGTTTCGTCGCTTTCTATCTATTCGAAGCGCATATACTTAGCAAAGCCTTGGCCGTCAGGAGGCCTCGGCGGGTGCCAGAAAGTCTGTACATCCTGTCTGTTGTATCGCACTGCCTGCGTCCGAATCGGAAGTACTCAAAGCTAACTAGGCACTACATAGTAGCAAAGTGCCCATCTTTTCATTGAAAGCTTACCACCACACATTGAAGTAGCATGAATGATTTTCGCGGGAAATCGTATTCAATACTTAACTTAGAAGTGTATTACCACGGGGCTTCGCGGCTCTTTTGAATGAAAGTCAATCCACGTGTAAGGTAGACTCGAAGGAAAACGCGTTTTTTTTTTGTACATTACCAGATATTTGCAGCTGGAGAAAGCCTGCAAGCCTTGAGGCCATGATGTTGGAATGTTCACCAGTTGTGGTGTACATAGCTAATGTCATCTTTAGCTCCACGCCTACCCGACCTGCCTAATCTGTAACTGCGCAGGAGGTACATATATGGCTCAATTTTGAGGATTAATTTTAACTTGTGCCATAATTTAATAAGTAATGGAGAGTAAGGCCTAGAACGACTCTTCAAAGAAACTACTCCGGAGACAGCAATAAAGCTGCGATTAGGTCTCCTCAAAGCATTGCCGCATTATTTTCGAACGAGTTTCGAGTCTAGTTCGAGTAAAAGATTGAGCCGATTTCTCATGGAGATAATTTACGGAAAACATATGAGCCACTAGAAGATCTTCTCATTCGAGACTTTTGAACGGAGATCGCGACGTAGACCTTCGTTGCCGATGATACGGTGGAGCCTAAGAAATCTTTTTATTCGACTAAAAGTAAAACAAATGTAGAAATTTTCATGGCTTGTCTGTCAATGTAAAACGGCAGCAAGGAATAGGCCCCTGTAAATCCGACAGGAATTGGTAAAGGGCGGAGGCGGATGACGTCATGCACGTGATATAGTGCGCATCCTCCGAAGTCGTGAGCCGCCATACGCCGGCCACGGCATAAACGTCGTGGGGCCAAACCGCTTGAATCGTTCATTCGTCCGTGACACCGGTTTGATTGACCGGCTGCATAATATTTAACCATCTCTTTGCAGTCCATGCTGTGTCGCATCTCCCCCGCCCCGAACATCAAGGGTTTTTTTCCGAATCATTTCGCACGTCGTGTACAGATATTTGGAACGCTGCGGTCAGCTAGGAGCCTTCGCATACCCAGGAGCAAGCAGAGAACTTTCGAACGGCATTTCTCGAGTAGTAGGACGATATTTGCTACAGATATGTCCGGACCTGGCGAACGAATGAATAGGTTGGTGAACGCCAAGTCACCATATTTGTTGCAGCATGCTACAAATCCGGTTGTACGTATTCATCGACTGTCGTGCCTAAACTCTAACTTTTCCTACTTCTTTTCCTCCGCAGGACTGGTATGAATGGTCGGAAGAAGCTTTCGTGAAGGCACAAACAGAGAATAAGCCCGTATGTCTCAGCCTGTTCTCCTGGTACAGCATCTGTTGAGGCTATTCTAAAGATATTCCTGAGCGTCGGGTACTCAGCTTGCCATTGGTGTCATGTTCTAGCCCATGAGTCTTTCGAGGACCCTGAGATCGCTCGGGTTATGAATGAGTAAATTTCTTCCTCTCCCTCCGCGTTGAAATCGCTCACAGCACCTCAGGAATTTTGTCAATATCAAGGTTGGATAGCAACTAATTAGTTGGTCAATGAAACTCAGCTGAGATATTTATTCCTCAAGGTCGACCGAGAAGAACGGCCAGACGTCGATAGGTATAAATACATGATCCTTTTTCTATTTCAAATGTGTTCTGATGCGTATTCAGGCTATATATGACTTTGTTAGTCATAATTTTATTTAAGAAATTCTTGTTAATCATGGCGAATTTTCAGTGTGCAAGCTACAAATGGCCGTGGAGGATGGCCAATGAGTGTTTGTACGTCTAAAATAATTTCGAGCATGACTCGATTCCCTAATCACGGTACGGAACAGGGTTGACTCCTGAATTGGCACCTTTCTTCGCTGGGATGTACTTCCCTAAAGACACTTTCAAACTTCTTTGTGAACGCATTGCTGCTACGTACGTTCTTCTCTTGTTTGTGTTTTAATCGGGATTATATTATATTAAATTATTTCCAGCTGGAAAGCCGATCCTGAAAAGGTCAGAAAAACCGGCCAATCAGTCGTTGAACAATTACAGGATTTATTCAAGGTTTGTTCCTTCTAGTTCGCTAAGTGCAGTACCGATTATATTCCTACCACAGCAAAATATTCCTGGAATATCAAGTGTTGACATCGATATAAAAGCAGCGTTGGAACATGTCTATAAGCGTTGGAAAGAAGATTTTGACCCTGTAAATGCCGGTTTTGGAGAGGCTCCCAAGGTTCGCCCATCAACTTGAAAATTAGCCTAGCCTTATTCTCACTCATTGTGCGGTAGTTTCCCTCACCTTCAATGACGTTTTACCCTCTTCTTCGTTTCGCGCATTATACGAATAACGAGACCGAAAAATCGACTGCTATCGAAATTGTGACTCGTACTTTGTTAGCAATCAACAGAGGTGGGATCAACGATCACGTTGGGAAAGGTATTGCAAGGTACTCAGTTGATGCTGAATGGCGATTGCCGCACTTCGAGAAGGTATTAGATTTTTTCTAAATTAATGATTGTCCGTTTTATCTCTAATTATTATTTCAGATGCTCTACGATCAAGCTCAGCTGACGACATACGCCTTAGAATGTTCAACTTTTGCCAAAGAAGAACATACCAAGAAAGAACTTCAGCAAATGGCAATGGACATTATTGAATACAGCGGACGTGACCTGCGTAGTCCTCAGGGAGCGTTCTATTCAGCTGAAGATGCCGACTCGTTGCCCTATCCGGGAGCGAAGAAGCCGACGGAAGGAGCATTTTACGTGGGCCAATCGTATTATAAGTATCCAAGAAAATAGCTCATATTTTCTATCATAGGTATGGAAGAAAGAAACCATCGATCAAATTCTCGGAGATAAAGCCCCAATATTTGAAGACTACTTTGGCGTCAAGGCACAAGGCAATGTCAACCCGGAACACGATGCCCACAATGAGCTGAAGGAAGAGGTGTGATTTGCATAGTAATGGCTGGTCATCGCTCGTTATTTACTAATAAGCTTCTCAGAACCAACTATATATCACAATGCCAATCGACGACCTCGCAAAGAAACACAACATCTCCACCTCAGAAGCCCGAGAAATTATCTCAATATCTCTCGCAACCCTCAAGAAATGGCGCGACGAAAATCGTCCCCGACCTCATCTGGATGATAAGATCGTAACGGCCTGGAATGGACTCATGTTGACTGCGCTTGCCCGTGCTGTGTCCATCTTACCGGCTGATGCGAAATTTCCAGATGGGAGCCAAGCGTCGAAGAAGGCGCTTGAGATGGCGGATGCGGTGGTGAAGTTCACGAAAGAGCAATTGTGGGATGAGGAGAATAAGGAATTGTGCAGGAGTTGGAGGGAAGGACGGGGTCCTAATGGGATGTGCGAGGATTATGCGAGTATGATTGCTGGTGAGATATTTATTCATTGAGTTTTCTTAGCTTTTCTTATTGATTTTATTTTTTAGGGTTACTGGATATTTACGAAGCAACCGGAAATGAAGACCACTTACTCTTTGCTTATCACCTTCAAAAGCGTCAAAATGAGCTCTTCTGGGATGAAGATGGCGGAGGCTACTACGCTTCTCCCGCAGGCGACAGCCGTATTCTCGTCCGTCTAAAGGACAGTCAAGATGGCGCTGAGCCTTCTGCGCTTTCGTTGTCTGTGTCCAATCTGTTCCGTCTTTCTGGCTTCATCACGGAGGAGGAATATGATATGAGGAGTAAGGCGGAGAGGACGTTGACGTCGCAGGTAGCGATGATCGAGAGAGCGCCTCATGCGCTGGGGATGATGGTCGGTGCGGCGCAAATGGGTGTTTATGGCATGAAGGAGGTACGTATTCCCTTCCTAATGATTTTTACTGACTAACTATATGTCTCCTGTTTAGGTTATTGTTACGGGGTTGTCGAAAGACAACGTAACAACAAGTCTCCTCGGCGCTCTTCGCACGAAATTCGTCCCCAATAGGAACTTAATCTTCTTGGATTTTGATGCGCTTCCAAAGGGATTGGCAGAACAAAATGAAGTGGTCCGCAGCCTAGTGGAAAGTTTGGCATCGAAGCCTAGTGGGTCCCTTGAGTTGCCTGAGGTAAGGATCTGTGAGGAAGGTGTATGCGGTATGCCGTTGAAGGGGGCGGAGTTGGACGAAATTGCTTAAGGACATTTAAATACAAGGTGTAAACTGTTCTCAGTGAGAGTTGTATTATTAATTGGTAAATATCAAATTTGGGAAGGTAAACAGCTTGAGGCCGTCCAGAAGTGGAGTTCGTCGAAGTAAATTTTGAGGCTAACCCACTTTAATTTTCCATTTGGATTGTATACTAAGCACAAATGTCAATCAGCACAGACGAAAGTAGACAAACCATTCGCCCGTATTCAGTAAAATATATCCTACATTAGTGGCCTTCTGGCGAAATGGCATCGCGTCTGGCTACGACATGTTTGCAATTAGGAGATTACAGGTTCGACCCCTGCGCTGATCATAGTTTTGCTTTGGCTCCTAAATTTAGACTTTACAGTGAACGAAATTTGAATGCCTTGGAATATTCGGGCTTGCAGAAGTAGGAAAGGAGTGACAATCCCATAGACAAAGACAGCTTTCCACCTTATTTATTTATCTGCCGGAAGTCTATCCTTACTCAGGACATTCATCGCCGTCGTTGAAGTTGCTCTTGCGAAGATGTAGTCAAAAAGATATCTATTGATTCAAGTTTGTGATGCTGCCTTGCTCAGCATATGCTTTGGTCTCTCATTCTCCTGACATAGGTACTAGAGCAGACTTATAAATCAACTGACGATACCTTTAAGTTATATTCTTATTCGATTCACGTTCATTTTGTAATAATCTTGACGAGGCAATTAAATAACTGAGGCTCCAACATACCCGCGCCGGAACCAAAATTCGAGGACCGCACCCTCAGGTTGTAAAGGAGAGCGAGGGTGGGCGTTTATAGGCATCGCTCCTTTCCCTCTTACCACCACCATCTCACCTCCTCTCCCCAGCGCCTCCATCCCCTCGCCTTATACTTTTCTGCTCTTACTTTCGACGGCCAGTATCCATCACGTGCTGCGACCGTTCACTAAATACGTTGGTGAGCTGGCCCCATTCTGTATGTGGCTGTCATGCAATGCCTCCGAGTTTCCTCGGCTGGCGAGATACTACTCGTCTTGTCTGCCAGCTGGCCCAATGCGCTTGAGATATGTGCTAGTGGTCACCCAATCCCTGTCGTTCCCTTTGGGCTGAGCTTCATACTGGTCTTTATTTCTTTGCTTTTGCTCGTTCGTCGGTGCTCGGCGCTCGCATCCCTTCCTCTACGCTTTACTTTCCGCGGGCTGACCCATTGCGTGCTGTGATCGTTTATTAAATACGTTGGTGGGCTGTCCTCATGCTGCATATGACTGCTATGTAACACTTCGAGCTTCCTGGGCTGGTGAGATACTACTTGTCTTGTCTGCCAGCTGGCCCGACGCGCTTGAGGTGTGCTGGTGATCACCCAGTCCCTGTCGTTCCCTCAGGTTGAGATTCATACTGGTCTTTATTTCTCCGTTTTATTTCTTGGTGCTCGCCTCCGGTCTGTCTTTTTCTTATCTTCTCAGTCCTCCCTGGCCCCGAGGGAGATGAGGGTCCCTTCCTCGTCAGGGCGTCAGCCACATCCTGTTCGAGAAGGCAGCTCTTCTTCTTCTTTCTTTCCTTTCTTTCCTTTCCTTCTACTATTTCCTTCTCAGTTCTCCCCGGAACACGAAGGAGATGAGAGTTCCCTGTCTCGTCGAGGTGTTGGCCGCCTCGAGAAGGGACCTCTACTTTTTTTCCTTTCCTTTCTTCCACTCCCGATTATTCCCTTGTCCATTTACTACATGGAACTTAGGAGAATCGGGAGTAGAACCTTATACTTCAGATTCAACCTTTGGCGTGGGTTAGAGAAATTTATAACTGCAAATAAAGCCATTTAGTAGGAAATTTAAAAACTTCGAACAAGGTTGACTAAGATCAAACGTTTAAATATCGTTCTGTATTTGTGAATGTAGTGACACAAAAGTCTAACAAGTCAGAAAGAAATTGAAGCGAGTAGATGTAAATCACCAATCGGCCTCAAAAATTGCTCTCTACTAGTTAGAGGATTCCATCGTCCTATATGAATAAAAGCTTTAGCGTCATGAGTGAGTACCAGACTTACTTAGCGGCTAATACACCGTATACTACTTCGTCAAGATAAATCACAGCGGCCTCCCTTTCGATCGTAACATTCCGGGACACCTTTCTCTGCATAGATTGCTTACATTTTCCATTTAATCTACACCTTTTACAACGCAAATATTTGAGCAACTCGAGAGCCCACGTCTCCATAAGCCTTCGACCTGCCCGGGGTCGTCTCAGTCAATTCCTTAATATCTGGTCGCCTGGCGAAACGGGATCGCGTCTGACTACGACTTCATACTTAAATCAGGAGATTGTAGGTTCGAGCCCTGCAGTGGTTATCGTTTCGTTTTTGCTCCTAATGACTTATGAATGGTACCGTCAACGAATCGCGTATAAGTTGAGTGCCTTGGAATATTCGGACTTTGTCAACTTCACTTTCCGAGTTCCAAATAGCGAGCGTATGAAATTTCCCTTCTATTGGACTTTCCCTACAATTGACTATCTAGAACCTCAAGCTAGCTCGAAACATATTCAGAGGATCGCAGGTAGGTAAGCGGCAGAACGCCAAAGTCTATAGTCTTCCAGTAGAGCAACCGCAAAGCTCATCGCGTCAGGTAGCACAACAGTCCATTGACTATCAGCCACCATGTACTCGGCCAATACTCGGCAGTGGCACCATCACCAGTTAACCCACACAAGAACCCCTCATCCCAATATTTAGGCCTGTTGCTTCGACAATTCTGACATCGAACACAATTATTCTTTGGAAAGGTTGCTACCACCCTGTCTCCAACCTAGGTCTGCATATGAGCACTATAATCGCCCTGGACGAACGTTCTTACCTTCAGGTTATCCACCTTGGCTCCTATCTAGACCATTGTGCCAGCGCATTCATGAGAAGGTGCGAGGGGAAGGCCTTGATGTTTCATCATCGCCGCGAACGAGTCTCCGTGCTGGACCAATAGTCCGCTCCGGTAATATCGATAAGTAGCTCATTGTCTCGTTTTATCTTTGGGATTGGAATATCAGTAGAAAAGGTATAAGACTTTTTGAATTCAGTCAAAATAATCCCCTTCATTTTTTCTGGGATAGACATGTCGAGTAGTGAAAGCTGATAAGGAGGGAGATCCAGCCTGATTCAATGGACACTGACTTGCATTTATAAGGTAGAGGCGAACCAGATGCTGTGAGTTAGAGGAAACACGCTATAAAATTACCATGAAAGGGATTTAGCAATATAATTGGTAGTATTAATCATCGAAGTGGTGCCCGTCCTCGGGAGCCTGAAGCTTCTTCGGAGTCCGGATCTAGGAAGTAATGGTTTAGATTATTTCGTTAATGGGGATAGCGCTTCCTGTTAAAGCTATATCAATCAAGAACAGCGAAAATACTACTTACTTTGAGGTTTGAAGTTATGGAATCATAGCAATATATCCAGGAATACTGAGCTTGAATCTCAAATAGTATATCCCGGAGTCTAACCATGCGGGAAAATTATTGATTAGGAAAGGGTCTGAAACTAAGCACCAATCTGTCCTGTCATTATGAACATGGGAGTCCATTAATTTCCTGGATAGGTTTCTTCTCTCAACCTATAACACATAATATACCGTTCACAATAAATGTAAACCGAGTCTTGGAAACATTACAACTTCATATCATCTATCGTCCGAGGTGAGAGCAAATTGTATTGGGTAAGCTTGTAATCTTTGGAGGAGAACATATGCAAATCAAACACCTCTATCGACCAGATTAGCGTGTCTTTGGGAAACATTGCTATCCAGCTTGCTCGCCTTGATGAAAACACGTCTACCGGGCTCTTTGGTCACCTTCAGGCTTCTGTCGCTTATCTCCCTCCTTCATGTCCTCAAGCGACGTAAATCGTCTTGGACTCAAGATTTTTAGTCTGTTCTTCAATGACTTCGATCTATGGATGGATAAGTACGAGGATACAGGGAAACAGGTGGGCGCTGCGGCCAATAAGCACGAACTGCGAAACCGTGGGAATGTTATTTTCTGATAAGCTTTGCTAAGTAGTAACTTCAGCCTCATACGCAGATATCGCATCTCCTTTTCCCAGAGATCTCCTTACTAATAAAATCAAGAGATAACACGATAGTCTATTTGTCCATTAGATTCTCCATCTGTGCAGGTATGGCCTTCTTTATCGCAGCTATTTGCTCACAGCAAAGCCTGCAAACCCCATACTTGTACGTTCCACATGGTTCACCATACGATATTGTTGGATTATGTCTCCCTACGTCGGCGCATGCCTCTTTCTATGCCATTTCTCGATCCAGCTCCATGGATTTTTCACCCTAGAATCCGGATCGTATAGTGGACGTCGATTTGGCAGGATTTCGGAGGATTGTTCAGAAAATGGCTTTATAAAGTATCAGAGTTGATGAGCTCACAAATCGAACTGACATGACTGCCGCGACTGCCCTGGTTGTTCTGCTTCTCACCGTCGCCTTCTATTGCCATCGTACGTTTAATAGAGCACCATGTGGTATGTACGGCATTCCATTATTCTACCATTTCATGTGAATTTTTGTAAGGTCTTTGCATGCCTCCTGGACCCCCACGAAAGTTCATCATTGGGAACGCCTTCGATATGCCTGTGAGAAGAGCTTGGGAAACGTATGAAAGTTGGGCGAAGAATTACGGTGAGCTGTGGTTCATCATCCTTCGAAAGAATCTACTAAGGATTGTTCCGTTCAGGGGACCTGGTTTCCCTCAAAGTGTTTGGACTAAACATATTGATTCTTAATTCACGACAAATGACCCATGAATTGTTTGACAAACGATCTTCAATATATTCAGATCGACCACTCTTACCGATGATAAACGACTTGTATGACATATCTTCTTAGTTATTCTTTAATAACTAATTTCCCTTTCCTTCCTAGAATGGACTGGAGTTGGGGATTACCGTTTCAACCCTATGGGGAAATATGGCGCCGTCATCGTCGCGTATTGCACGAGAAGGTTCACGCAGGTGTCACTGAAACCTTTAGACCCGTTCAACTTAAATATACAAGGTACGTTACCCAGATCCACTTTATTCTAAGCTCATGGTAAATTAGGACGCTTCTCAAACGACTGTTGACGAGTCCGTCCGATTACTATAAACATGTCACTTTTGTGGGAGCCGAGACTATGATGGAGGTAATTAATGCTTGTCAAGTCTGAAGTTGACTGTATTCGCGAACTAGATGATTTACGGGACTTCTTTTAAATCTGAGAAAGATCCGTTTTTAGTCACGGCAGAAGCTGCTCTCGAAGGGCTGCAAGAGGCCTGGATTCCAGGAGCATTTTGGGTTGACGCATTGCCATGGAGTAAGTAAACAGAGCTGCCGATCAGTATAGTTGTTTTGACGATTTTACAGTGAAATATATACCAGAGTGGTTTCCTGGAGCGCAGTTTCAGAGAAAAGCGGGGAAATGGCGTCAGGCCATTCACGATATGAAGGAACTACCCTTCCTTCGAGTTAAATTAAATATGGTAAGTCCTATACTATGGTCTGACATATTATACTGATTCACCATCTCTTTCTCTCGCACGAAAGCTACATGGTGTTGCAAAACCCAGTTTTGTCGCATCACATCTGGAGGAACTGGCGGAAAAGGGTCCCATTGATGATGATCAAGAAGAAACTATCAAGAATACAGCTGCGATTGCGATTGCTGGAGGTTTAGAAACAGTAAGGAATGTTCTCTCTGTATTTTGAGACTTCAATATTCACCTTAAGATAAGACTGTAGCGACGCGACTCATCTTCATGCTGGCTATGATATTATACCCCGAGGTTCAAAGGAAGGCCCAAGAAGAATTAGACAATATGTTGGGTTGGAATAGACTTGTTGAATTTGAGGATTATTCCCAGCTGCCATATGTGAACGCTATCTGCAAGGAGGTATTGCGGTGGCATCCCCTGATACCGCAAGGAATGATGCACACGACGTCTCAAGACGATATCGTGGGGGAATATTTCATACCGAAGGGAGCGATCCTTATCGGTAATGTCTGGTATCCTTTTATTTCGTTTCTATTACTCCCAAATACAAGCTGAGTTTTACCCCAGGAGACTTCTTCATAATGAAAAAGATTTCGGACCTGACACTGAACAATTTATTCCTGAACGATTCTTCCAGCCAGGTGTCCGAGATCCAGCCCATACCGGAGCCTTTGGCTTTGGAAGAAGGTAAGTGCTTACTTTCTATGTCATTGCAAGAAATTTACGGATATACACTAGGATCTGTCCAGGACGTAATGTGGCAGAGAGTTCCTTGTTCATCGGCGTCGCCTCCATGTTGCAGGTTTTTGAAATATCCCGTCCTCTAACACAATCCGGGAAAGAAGTGCCTTTTACATATGACTTTATGGAGGGACTGCTATCGTATGATAATTTACAATTAATTTACGGTGCACGTCCTAATACGACTACGATAGCCAACCCAAGGAATTTCCATGTGTAATTCGCCCTCGCTCTGAGGAGGCACGGATGCTCATTCTTCAAGGGTAATTTGGAAGGGAATGTCGGGATCTTTTAGTGATGAAATTTATGAACACCTCATCAATCCATATAGACTGCAAGAGTAGATTTTGTGTGGACGAATATTACTGGTATAATGCTAAAGATAGTCACATACGAGAAATTTGAGCAGTGAGCAAAATATCTCCTGTCCATCCTCGTTCCCGTGCATTATGCGGGGAGGATCCACATTTAGAATTCTTCTGAAGTCCAAAGCCTTGTCCTAAACTCCCATCGAAGCATAATTCTGTCGGTCGATTTGGAATGAAGTATTGATGCTGCATGGAAGTTGAATATCTTCGGATGATTCTTTGAGTGCGTTCCAAAGCTTGTACAAGGCTCGACGAAGTGACGGCATCGAGCAACCATGACTGAAACTTCTCCAACGGTGGCATACGCCTGACGCTGCGACACGGGCTTTGAGTGGCAGACAAGCAGCAGATTAGGGAAAACTGAATATCATAACTCGGAGTCGGGAAGAGCTAGGTTGAAAGGCATCTGGTAATAAGGTAAATGGATAAGAAAGGAGGAAGCTCTTACTAATGGCGGCTTCGTTTTGTATAAGTCCCCACTGGTAATTCCTATTCCGCATAATAGAAGTAGCCATGTAGTATTGACTCTATTTATCCATCTGTTCGTCTATAACATTCAACCTCAAAGGTTTACTTCAGCATCCTTGTATAATAGTAATCTGTACTTCCTTGAATAGGGGAGGGTTTGAAGCGTTAGGAAAATTCACATTAATTACTCTTCTTTCTTCCAATCGAATTCAAATGTACCGAGACAAAAAAGGAATGGCTCATC